GTGTAACCACGCTCAACCATAATATATATAGAAATACTCTCCTCAAACTCACTAGTTTGAGATTGAAACCTATTGAGGTTGAACCCAAAAACAAAAAAAAGGATTTATAAAGTGGAGTAGAACGACTCAACCAGAGTGAGATGTTTCAACATGAAAAAAATGTAGAAGGTTTTTTTTGTTATTTTTTTGGTGGAAATAAAAAAAATAATAATAAGATATGGAAAAAGAGATGATGCCTACCAATCTGAGATGTATAATAATGAAAATTATTGATGGAACAAAGAAAGATAGAAAAAAATAAAATAATAAAAGAAAGTAGTGGGAACAGGAATCTGAAAGCTCACTAAACGGAGTGTTAAATAAGGAAATCTCGAAGAGAAAAGATGATGGTTTTTTTTTTGTTTTTTGAATGGAAAATAGGAAAGATAAAAAATAAAATAAATAAAAGTTGGGGTAACGTGGGCTCAACGCGGTCTGAGCCGTGGGTTGAAAATAATAATGATGGGGGTGAAAAAAGGAAATAACGTGGGGAATGGGATAAAATAAAATAAAATTCAAATTAGTAGGGAATAGGTTTCCAGTGAGGAAGAGGAAGAGGATTCCTGCAAGAACCAGGCCGTCGGCCTTTACGCCGTCGTAGCCGCCGCGACGGCAGGCTTCCAGAGAGGTGTAATGCCGGAGTTCCCGTAGCGGTTTGGAGCATCTCACGGTGAGGCTGGTTTTCTGGTCAAGGCAGAGAAGGCCGAACTCGGAGATTCTGTCAGAATTTGTTAGAGGGTTTGTGGCGGTAAGACCAATAGTGGCATCGATTGTGGCCGTTGTAGTGCCTTCTGCCGCTGTGTGGTGGCCACGGTACAAAAAGATCGTACAAGAGTTCAAATGAAAAATATACTTTCTCAGAGTGCATATGTCCCTCTGGGAGCTGGAGCTGCCATGGGATGCGGAGCTGGAGAACTTGGCTTCGCTAACAGTTGTGAAGCTGCCCCTGGGAGGGGTTGTTGTGGAGCTGCCATGGGTATGCTTAGAGCCGGAGAACTTGGCCTCCGACGAACAAGTTGGAAGATGCCACCACTCGCTGATTTGGGAAAAAAAATTGGGAATGATTTTAAATGTGTGTCCACTTTGGAGGTCATAACAAGTGGAAAGTCAAAAGTTGTCCAGAATGCATCTGGTACAACCAGTCTGTTTGGATTGGGAAGTACTGCCTGGGAATGATTTGAGTGCATTCAGTGTTGGCCAGGGCAATACACAAGATGTCAAAAAAAAAATGGTCCAGTGGCTTCCGTCAATGGATGTGTTTGGTCTCGTGTAGCTATGATAACACTATCAAGGTTTGACAAGAAGAGTCTCCGGTAACTGAGCGAGAGCAACACGGTTAGGAGTTCTCCAGCGAGCTCGTGGGCGGAAACAAAGGGCAGCACAAATGGACTGTCTGATCATGAATCAATAAATCACCTCACAAGTGGAGTACGTGTACGAAAACTCCAGCAGGCAGTGAAGGCAAAGATTGCCGCCGACTACCCGCCGGCAGAAAGAATATAGGCCTAAATCTTATAGCTCTGATACCAGTGGTTAGAATACTGTATAGAGAACGAGATGAGAATAAAATATGTATATATTCGATTATTGAATGTTGTGTTTACAGGGTTTCAAAGGACTCTCTTTTTAGAAGAGAGTAGTTACCAGTAGCTGTAAGTGGCCACCGAACGCTAAAGCAAGGGGACACTAAATTATTAAAGCTAACACTAACATATAATAATATACTAAACACTTCTTCTTTTTTCTTCGTTTTAGTTACAATATGAACTCTTTCGCGCTTAATTCTAAAGTTTGATTCTGAAATTGGGAATTTTTCATGACCCATTATTAATCATCATGAAGCCTGTACTTATAGGCTGAAATAATGAAGCCTGTATTTTTCTTGAATCGCTGTAGCAGGGCGTCACGTGGCAGCCGGACAGCGGCGGCTGAGGGGCAATCGGAGCATGGAGGAGCATCGTTTTCTCTCTTCTCTCTCTCTCTCTTTTCTATATATGCTGCGTATATACAGCTGCGATGGAATTTTGGAAATCTGAATTTTTTTTTTCCAAATTACTAATTAAAAGCAATGTCGTTTTAGTAGGTTCTTCCTCAGTCCCTTGAAGATGAGTGTGACACGTATCGGCCAGCCATAGGATCACTGTATGAGATCAGTGTAAGAATTCACTCTGAATGGATTTGGCACTCTCTAAACACCAAAGGTCTCTTAGCTTCCTGAAGAGTCAGGGCATGACCAAAGAACGGGTCCCTCAACATCGCTCACCGATCATCTGTTCCTCCACATTGTCGCGAACACCCACTTGTTGATGCTCCCACACGACCCTACCAACCGCCGCATCGACCTGCGAAGCCTTCAAGAACGCTCGATTTCACGTCAATCGGAAGACAACGACCGCCAAACACAGGACAACCAAGAGGGGATCGAATGCAGCGAGCAACGCGACAGGGGCGTGGAGCTGCGAACGGCGGTACTTTCTCCTCTTCTCTCTTCTTCTCTTTTCATTCTCTACCATTTTTTTTGTATGTGGACAGATTACATTTCAATAGTATATGTGTTCATTTTTTTTATGTGGTTCATATTTGTTTGTAATAATTAATATTGTTGTTTGTAATCTGTTAGGATTAAAAAATCTGTTTGTTAATATGTTTGGGTTAACCATCTAAATTTTTTTTGTATGGGTTTTCATTTTCCTTTATCCCAGAAACAGAAAATCATCCCATACTTTTCCTTTGATGGGCTTTTTCATTTTGCTTAATTAATTTGGCTGGGCTATATTGTAGGGAATTAATAAATTGAAAAATGTTAAAAGTTTGTAAAATTTAAACCGCTAAACGATAACATTCATCCGGCAAATTCGCTTCAGCTGCATCTGCAACTAAGCAACAGATTCAAGATTGATTTTAAGGCCGATGAACAGATGGGAATGTCCCCGACCCACCAAACTGGCGAGCACCCTAAGTTACACACTTTTGCGGAGAAACTCACGACACGTTTTTATGGGTTAATTTTAATGAGATTTTTGACACTTTTATGGGTTATTATGAGATTTTTAACACTAAGTCATGATTTCTCAAATTTTAAGGTAAATTACATGAATTTTGTGTTAAGTTATACGATTTTGTGAGTGATTTACATATGTTTTGTGAGAACTTACGGTAAATTGTAATTCTCAACTTTTATAATTAAATACATGCATTTGTGTTGAAATATGTGATTTTGGGACGCGACCTATACCTTATTTTGTGAGACTTACACAAGTTGCAATAGGTGTGCAAACCCCTTGCATAGGTTATCCTTAAGGGATTTCTATAATATTCCCAACAATTGCTTGAGCAAACACCCTCCTATGTCAAACTCCATTTAGGATATCTAAACCCACTCCAAACTGATCGTAGGGTGACCAAACACCCCATTTCAACACACAAAAAAAAAGTGCCAGATTTTTTTGTTTTTGTTTACGTCGTTGTCTTCATACTTTCCTCTCTTAACTTCTTCCTCTCAGTTTTCGTTTACTTCCTTGGTGGCCAA